CAAGGGTCATCCTTTCCAACCTTTTCCTAATAAAAGAATCCACAGCTAAAGAGTCCACATACAAGAATCCCTGACAAATGGTCATCCAGTCTATAATTTATAATGAAGGGCAGCTCTTCACCTTCTAATGCAATCTCTTCTACTCTCATGTCAGCCCTTACCTACAGAAAATTCTTCCTGGTGTTTAGTCAGAATCTCCTTTTGTGTAGTTCAGAACACTTGGTTTGGATCCCCTTTCTGCCAGAGCAGCAGAAAGCACCCTTCTGTGCCATACCCTGAAGCGATTTGATTCAGCTGTCAGCCCAGTTGGCTGATATCTTGGAATGGAGGAGGAGTCAGGTTATTCTTTGTTTTTTAAACAGTAAAACATCTTGGGTCCAACCTTGATGCACAGGCAGAGACACAGACTTATCACTGCCAAAAACCTTCTGGGCTTGGATTCTAAGATGCCAAACTCAGTGCTTGGCAGCTGACCCTAAAACCCTGTGGGAAGTAGCCATATAGCTCTAACCAAGGGCCAGCCCCTAAAAGGTATCTCTGCTTCTTCTTCTGTTGTCTCAGCTTGGGAAGGGGAATTGTGGGGGCACTGCATTTCCATCTATATTTCTATTACATATTTGTGTACATTTAGCCTAGGCGTTTATTATAACCTTTGAAGTATCGAGCTATAATCGTTTGGTCTTCTGTGACTTCAAGGTTTCAGCCCTTTTCTTTGATGAAAGATGAACATTTTCTCAGTACTAGGCTGCAGTCCTGCATTTAGTTTGATAGGCTAACACTCCAGCATGGAAGCATCTTTTTTTAGTTTGGGCCTTCTTCCACCCACCCATTGTGCAGTTGGTTTCGTGAGGCTAATAAATGGGTTCTTTCACAGCTTTGTTGCAGGTGATTTAAGCACAAGGATGGATCGGGTCAGATCAGGGGATAGGGTCCAGCAGGCTCTTGACCCTCCCTAGTGCCAGCAAAACATTCCTTACAACAGGCAAGCATCTAAAAGTATGCAAAAAGTATCCTCTGTATGTGCATGATAATACCTATGCCTAGGAAGTTCTTTGATGTGGCTTTCCCCCAATTTACTGGGCAGCGGCTGGTTTGGTCAATTCCTCTTCTTTACATTTCACTGTTAAGTTGATGGCATTACAGCAATGAAAGATAACAAGCTGTACCAGGGAAGGCAAAAGATCCAATGAACATATGCAGAGGCCAGAATCCTGTAGATGATTTACACCTGTATAAGTCAAATTGTGTAACTGACAGCAGGGAATTGCTGCTACCTAATGAGGTGCCTGCCATGTTATGAGGTACATGTCTGATTAGACCACTGGTTCTTAACCTTGGGTTACTCAGGAGTTTTGGACTGCAACTTCCAGAAGCCTTCACCACCAGCTATCCTGACTGGGGTTTCTGGGAGTTGCAGTTCAAAAGCATCCAAGTAACAAAGGTTAAGAACCACTGGATTAGACAACAGCCGCAAATCTAGTACCTCAACTACAACCCCTTTAGTGGCATTTTGCTGCAGTGAATTGTGCAGGGTAAATTGCCAACAGAATTCTGTCCTTAAATTTTAAAACCAGATAGAATGTGCCTTTCCCCCATTCATCCCAATCAGTGTCTGCTTCGCACTCACTAGCAACGATTGGAAATCTTACTTCTATGTAGCTACTGTTTCTTACAGAGTATCAAATCTTTCACAAAGAATATCCTTGTTTTCTGTTGTAGCAAAAGCATTCTGTGGCACTTTTAAGACAAAGAAGTGTATAATTTAGAGATGGGCACGAATCAGAAAAATGGTGGATTCATGGTTCATCAAGGCTGATGAATCATGAATCACGAATTTACACTTTTTCTGACAAATTGACAAATTGATTTATCAATTCATTTTTTACTTTAAAACTCTATAAAACACCTCCCCCAAGCACCCAGAGAACCAGATTCACGGGAAAGCTTCTTTTGTCTGTCCTCTACAAGCCTTGCGCCTTTGGTGAAGATTGAGTTTCAGTCAAATTATAAACCCACAAAATGGGTCCCTCCCAGGACAGTGCCCTTTAGCAGCTGGTTTGGAAAAGCCCAATCTTCACCAAATATGGAGGGATTGTTGAGGAGAGTCAGGGGAATCTTCCCTACAATTTTGGCATCTCTAGCTGCCTGGGGCCCCGTTTTATAACCAAATAAATCAACACATCAAAAATTGCTAAAAATTCATTGATTCATATGACTTTCGGGGCATTATTCATACAAATACAAATCAACAAATTAGCGATTTTCTGAATGAATTTGGTGATTCATTTTTTAATTCAAGCCCATCTCTAGTGTAAATATTTGCAGAAATATGTTGAGGAGGAGTCCTTGAAGTAGTGGTGGCCATGGGGATCCAAAGTAGCCTGTGAGGACTCAGAATACCAAGTGGGCATGGAGTGCAGACTAAATTACTTTGTTGGAAGAGGGGTAGATCAGAAGTAAAGAGGAGTAAAGTAGAGTATTTTGGCTGGCTAAGTGAAACTCTTCACAGCAAGAACATCCATCTGCAATAATTTGAGCAATTCCACTGTATTTCTGCTCTAGCAATTGCTCACTTTCATTATAGGCACCAGAACTTTTTCCACAGAAATATTTCTCTAGCAGTTACACTAAAGTTTTGTTTTTCTAAGGTTGCATAACCTTCACAGTTGATGCTGTTCATTAACTGAAATGCAGTTGGGCAGGGTTGGCAACGACTAAACACACACACACACAAGGTTGCATAACCTTCACAATTGATGCTGTTCATTAACTGAAATGCAGTTGGGCAGGGTTGGCCTCTGCATATGGAACAACATCATCGGCATCCACAAATTTTGTGATTTTGGTATGCGCGTAGCTTGCACACAGTGAGATGAAGATGCATGCAGCTTGCAGTCATGAAAAGTAGCCCCTAATCACTGGCAATCTGATGCTACTGCTGTCGCTCTTGTTCATGTTGCACAGACATACCATGCCCAACAGGATTCTGGCCATTACTGTGTTGTTCTTACAATTCAGTATCAGCGAGCTGAATATTGAGATATTCACAAAAGCAATGAAAGTGTGTTGTTACACAGCACACAAGAGGTACTGATGGCTACCAACTTGGATGGCTTTACAAGACAATTACATTTTTGGAGAACAATCAATGTCTATTGATAAGACTTGCTCATTATCCAGCTGATCAGGTTTTGCTCAAATTCTAAGCAGTTCTTCCCTACAAATCAGCTAATAGTGTGGCAGTCATGTTCTCATGAGCCTCATGAGTGGGGTGGGGTTTCTATCCATATACTGTATTAAAAAAGACAGCTATCTGAGAAAAAGATACCTCTGTTCATGCCAAAATGTTATCACCTGTGGATTACATAATACCAATGTCTATTTATTTATTTCCATGCATCAGTTATGTACATCCAGCTATCTGAGAAAAAGATACCTCTGTTCATGCCAAAATGTTATCACCTGTGGATTACATAATACCAATGTCTATTTATTTATTTCCATGCAGTTATGTACATGGATGCTTTACACAGTTTTTCTCTCTCCTGTTTCCCCCTAAAAACAGGGGAAACCTGTAATCTAGGTTTGGCTGAGGGCTACCAATTATCCTGAGCACGCCAAGCTGCTTGACTAAGCAGCTTTTTAATTTGGTTCCCGCTGTTCCAAGTCCAGCAGTCTAACTTCTACATTATTCTGGCTTTCTCAGATCAGTGTTTATAGATGGTTCTAAATATTATGAGGGGTGGGGTGGGGAACAATGCAACAATTAATGTTCTTAATGTGTGTAATATGCAGTTTGGTGCCATATACAAAGAACGTTGCCTAAGTTGCAAAATATGAGAATTACACTGCCCGGTTCTGGAGGGTTGGAATAGGATTTCCCTAATATTAGCCACATAGCCTGTATGCTGCCTTGAAGTTAAGAGGTTATGAGGCCTCTGGCGCCAGCCACTACAGAAGACAAGTGGGAATAGGCTGGTGTGCTCATATCCTCATTACAGGCTTCCTAGAAGCAACTGGTTGGAAACAGGATAGTTTGACTGCAAACTCTGTTGGTCTGATCCAGAAAGTCACTTTTTACATTTGTATCTGCTCTGCATCTAAAACACGCCCTTGTTAGGGGGGAGATGGGTGAGGTCTGGTGCACCATCTATGAAATGGTCTTCCAAGAGGGGTTTGAGTGATGCTATTTTTGATTTCTTCTGCATCCTTTATATTCTCCCGGTTTTTAACTTTTAGCAGAATTTAAATATTTTTATTGTTTCTAATTGTTGCTTCTTATTGTTGACGATGTTATCCCTTTCATCTCCACAACATGCCCTTGTCAGAGGTGAAATGGATGACAACCGGAGAGAAAGCTTTTCAAGTGAAGAGCACGGCAGAAATACTTGAAGACCAATTCTCAAAATGCATGTTTAAAAATGGGAATGAAAATCACTACTCATTATTCAAAATATTGATTTCACATCTCAGTTAATTTTCTAAGACCCTTAATTAGTGAGTGTATATGAGGATAAAGGAGAGGATAATGTGCCCTCAGAGTTGCCTATAATGTTCTATTTGTAAGACAGTAATACAAACATCAGACCTTTTAGTAGCTGACTTTCTCTACTTAATGTGTGCTAATTACCTTAGAAATCTATAATGCTAGAGTGAGTAATTGAAATTCTCATACTGTCAATTTACTACAGTGAACTTGTTGCTGGTTGGTAGGGAAACAGGAGGTGAGATGCTGAGATCTAAATACCAAATTCCCCTTCACATTTGCTATTCATTGAGTTCTAGAACTTATATACAAGTGGGTGCAAAAGGGCACTAGAGGGGCTGAAGAAATGGCTTATGGGCCAAAGATTCCCTGTCCTTGTCTCACTGGCATGTGCAACTGCATTATTTACAATTTGTTGTATCTTCTGTGGCTTGAGAGTTTCCTAGTCTATCAAAGTGCACCTTTGATTCATATTTGCTTTTCTTTCTATTTTTCATGTTCTTCATTCCTTCAGCCCGAAGAACTCACTAATGCTCTAGAAATCAGCAATATTGTCTTCACTAGCCTCTTTGCTCTAGAGATGCTTCTGAAGCTCCTTGTGTATGGACCTTTTGGCTACATCAAAAATCCATACAATATCTTTGATGGGATCATTGTAGTGATCAGGTAATTTATACCAAGTTGTCTTTACATGACCTGCCATGTGAATCCACCCAAGGAAGCTGTGTAGTGAAAATAAGAAGGAAATAATGGGAGATCTTAGGGTGTGTGTTTGTTTTGTTTTGTTTTGTTGTTCTGTTTTGTTTTTGGCTACAGAATTGTTATGCTAAAAGCGTTCAGCAGGATTCCTCCCACTGCTGCTATCTTCGTTCTTTGTGCCACTTGCACATAAGAAGTGGAATGGCTATCAATAATAAGAATTAATGTGTCATCAAGACAATTTCAGCTTATTCCAGCACTTCTCAGGACTTTCTAACTGTAAAGTACTCAGAAGTAGTTTCCTAGTTGCTCCTTCTAGTGGTGTTCTGGGACCCTGATGCTTGCTGGTTCTTCTCCCACGAATGCCTCTCAAGCTTATTCTTACATATTTTAAGATGTACACCCACAACATGATACATCTTCAAAAGAAGGGGAGAGGATTTCCTTGGCCACAAAAAGAAAAAGAAGGCAGATATTTTCAAATATTTTCAAAAATTCAGTAGCCTATTTGTATAGGGACATTTTAAAGAAACCATGAGTATAATTTTAAAAGATGCATGATGTGTCCTACCCAAGTGAGAAAGACTGCAGCTGGCTGTATTATATGCCTGCAGAGTCTGCTATCGAGGTGCTGATTGTGGATGAACAATGCCAACCATGTACAGTATTCTTTCTTAGGGCTCTTTAATGTTCTGCTGGACATAGCACTCCAAACAGAGGGCATCTTCAAACAGAGGACTGTCCTCTGTAAAATAGTATACATGCCCCCTACTAACATGCATTCCGTTTAGAAAGTGCATGCCAAGTTAGAAGGTACTTCTCCCCGCAGAACTTTCCAGTTGAAGAGCTTGATTAAGACTTATTCTTCCTTCATGGAATCCTTATTCTTCAGGTGGTTCTGGACCTATCTGGGTATGGATATTCTCTTTTAGAGGACATAAAAATCAGTTAGATTGGATACAGGTATTTTATTAAAATGAAAATGTATTTTCCAGGCTAGAAATCTAATCTTTTCAGAAATCCTGAAGCTATAAGAAAAGTTAAACTGCACACAGTACTGAGTTATTTTATCCAATTCTAATACTGATTTTTTAAGAACATGAAATACATTTATGTATAACTTTATTACCACCAAAATGTATAACATTTTGTATATGCAATGATTATACAACGATTATGTGAGATTTCTTTCAGTTTTCTTCAGATTAGAACTTCTAATGCACCCAGTATTAAAAAACTGAGTAAACTGGAAAGGACATTTAGAAATAGTATGCAGGCTTCAACATTATCACACAGAAAAAGGAGGAATCAAATAGTTTAACAGAAAAATCTCAGAATTTCAAGTTTTCTGTAATAAAATTAAAGCGGGAATCCTATGTGCACTTAACTTGGAATAAGGCCTATTGAGACCAATGAGATTTCTTTCTGAGTAGACTTGGATAGGACTGTGCTATGATTTTCACTCATCACTTTGTAATATAAATATTTATTAGAGCTCACTAGCTTGGGTTGCAAGCCTCCCCTGCTTTTGCCATAGGTTTTACATGCCCAGATGATGTGTGTCTTCCCATCATGAACCAATCTAACATCCTACTTCTTATTCTTTAGTGTCTGGGAGATAGTGGGACAGCAGGGTGGTGGCCTGTCTGTTCTAAGGACCTTCCGTCTTATGAGAGTCCTGAAGCTGGTCCGTTTCATGCCTGCTCTCCAGCGGCAGCTAGTTGTCCTCATGAAAACAATGGACAACGTGGCCACCTTTTGCATGTTACTGATGCTTTTCATCTTTATCTTCAGGTGAGTGCTTAATAGTGTTCATTACTGTGGTGGTGGCAGTGGTGGTAGTAGTTATTGCAAGCTGTTGTTTCATGCTTTAAAGTGAACTCACCCAAGATGAATTTTGGCAGGGCAGAATATTTAGTGCAAATAGTTTAAAAGAATATGCAGTGTGGTGCTATACATAAGTAGGACCCAATTAGTTTAGTGGGGTTTAGTCTCTGTAAAATAAGTGTAGGATGGCAATTTAAGTGTAATGTTCTAGCATTCTGGGCCTTTTGGGAAACTATACTTGATGGTACAGTTGAGCCAGGACTTCACAGGATAGAAGCACCGGGGATTTTTGATCAGAAGGCATGCTGATAAAATAAAACAGTGCAAAGTAAAGTAATCTACTATATTTGTTCTTCTTTTTCTTTTGTAGCATCAGGAATGAGTGGTGGGAGTAAAATAATTTCAAACATTGTTTGCTAAGAGGATGGAATCTCTCTTTGCTCATTCCAACACGAACCTTTTCCATTTCCTCAGTACCTGACTTTGTATCTTTTCCTTTTGCCTTCAGTATCCTCGGCATGCATCTCTTTGGTTGTAAGTTTGCTTCTGAGCGAGATGGTGACACCCTCCCCGACAGAAAGAACTTTGATTCCTTGCTATGGGCCATTGTTACTGTTTTCCAGGTAATACATCCGTGCAAGCTATGCACCTACTTCTCAGTCTTTGGGATTTTTCGCAATACCACGCAGACCCCCCTAAGAGTGTGGGGAGCACAAAACTGAGGCCCTTTGTGTGGAGCCTTGGTGCAGAGAGCCCAGAATATCAGAAGTGTGGCTATAATGGATAGTGCTTAGATAAGGCTAGAAATTATGTGTGTACCAGAATTGGTGTCAAAAGCAGAGTTTATGTGATTGTTCTTTGAAATGTTGACATTCTGGCATGGTAGGCAATCTGGCAAATAAGGAATATATATTAAAAAGAAAGGCATGTAGGCAGCGTTAATAGAGGTTATCTGTTCATTCCAGTCTGGAAGGCCAGCCTTCCTAATAAAGGGAGAGTTAGCATTCTTCTAGTGCATTGAGATGTGGATTTTATAAAATTATTAGATTAGGTACTGTGGGGACAAAACAGCAAACTTTGTAAATAATAAGAGGAACCCTTCTGGTGAAAAATTGGATAGTCCTTTTTTGGTTTCTGTGTTAATAAGTGCTGCTGATTCCAAATGTGGTCTCGTTTGCTCAGGAAGCAGAGGTTAATTGATGATGCTTCAGCAGAAAGCAGAATACAGTGAGGAGGAAATGAGATTTACGTTCAGAGGTTGCAGACTGTGTTTTTGATAATGTCATCACTTGGAGCTTGGCTCATTTACTGTAACTGGGCACTACATGACAAGTATATCCTGCTTATTTACTGCCAAAATGAGGAACAGAAGGCCTTGGAAATTCAAGCAGTGATTGATAGGGCACAAAGACAGGTATAAGTTGCATGTGGTTAGGTGAACATTCAGAATTCTTTGAGAAAAAGATTTAGTGAGTTTTAAGGTGTCCTTATATCATGAGCCAAGAGTGAGCATTCATTTTTGCCAATAACAAATGAGAATTGTAGTCTACAGGGAAAAATCTGACTGAAAATCTCAGGCTGGATTCATGAGGAGTATTTCCATAGAGACTTTTCATATACTCAGATTTCTGGAGAAAACGAGTTCTGTGAGATCTAACACTTACTATGCATATACAGTGGTGCCTCCCAAGACGATTGCCTCGCGGGGCGAAAAACCTGCAAGATGATTGGTTTTCGCGATCCCTATGGTACTTCGCAAGACCGATGCTTTGCAAGACGAATAAATTTCATTAATCTTGTGATGTTCCCATAGGGAATTATTTTTTTGTTCGCAAGATAATTTTTTCAGAAGATGACGATTTTCACGGAACAAATTTAAATCGTCTTGCGAGGCATCACTGTAAAATCAATGTTTTACCTTGCCTATGCATATGATGTTTAGCTGTGGGGAATGACATTTCCCCCACCTGGAATTCATGTTTGAAGAAAGGTAGATATTTTTCTATGTTCATGAAGAATTATGATTTTTGCTGTTGTCTCATATCACATGGCTGTTTGGCACCTTTTTCATTCCAGATACTTACTCAAGAAGACTGGAATAAAGTCCTGTACAATGGCATGGCTTCTACCTCTTCCTGGGCTGCCCTCTATTTTATTGCCCTCATGACATTTGGAAATTACGTTCTTTTTAATTTGTTGGTTGCCATCTTGGTAGAAGGTTTTCAGACTGAGGTAAAGTTTTTAATATTTTACTTCCTTTGTCTTTTAGAATAGTAGGCTTAAATATGGAAGATTCAGAACCCACATCTCATTGAAAACTGTGGAAGAGGGATGTTGTAATTCCCCCCCCAGCAAATACTACAATGTAAAACAGAGCTTGGAAAGTTACTTTGAAAAAGTAATTGGTTAAAACCATAACTTGAAGGCCACTAAAATAGTTAACTATTATAATTTCAGTTTTAAAAACTTTCCAGGGAAATAGTCATGTTCGTCTGTTGAAGCAAAAATGACAAAGTAGATTAAAGACTAATAAGTTTATTTGGCCTAAGCTTTTGTGGACTGCAGCCTCGTATCTGAATAAGTGAGCTGCCTCCTGCCTTACCTCTGGGAACAACATGCAAATAGCAAGGATTTAAAAGCCTTCACTGCTTACATTAAGAAATTATATTCTTGAAAGTGTGCATAGATTGTTATGCTTTTGCACACATTTTTGTGCCTTTTTTGGCCACTCTGTTATCATGCCTATGGATTTTGGAATTTCTTTTCTGTCAACATGGCCATATTTGCTTTTGTATAAGACTTTTTGTCATTTTTAAAAACTAACACTTTATTTTTCTTCATTTAACAAAAGTTATCTTTTATCTTTTTAGTTGCCCTTTAGAGTGGAAAATCTGAATAGTGCAATCTACTGGTCTGTAATACAAAACACAACTAAGTAGCCTAAAAGAATAATTAAGCAGCCACATAAACATGATATAATTTTTTTAAAATTATCTGTAAAATGAACAAGGGAATTGTATAACAGAATGCCAAGAAACCAAGAAACTAGGAGCCATTTTTGCAGTCTTACACATTTTACTCAGAATTAAGTTACTGCACATAAAAGGCATGTCAACAAAGCGTGTCCAAAACAACCTCTCGCCATGTTTACTGGGTTGGGGCGGGACTGTGAAAAGGCGTTTAAATAAATAAAGGGGATGAAGGTCTACAAAGGGGTATTTGTTCTGCATGAGGCCCCAAGCGTGTGTATGATAGCTGGCCTTAAGCAGCAGCATTTCATAGTATGAGCTATAAATTAAAGTTAAGTTGGTAATGTAGGTGTGACAGGAAAATAACAATCTTTCAGGACTGGCACTCCTGCTATCGTATTCATTCACACTATATAAAACCCATTTGGAAAACAGCTTGGGCTTTTTATTTATCTTTCCCCCTAAGTGCAGTTTATAGCGAAGATTTATTGCCACCTCTTAGGGCAAGGCAGCCAGGGGTCTTGGTTAATCTTATCTTCCCCAGGTTGATACATTTTATTTATATTATTTCTGCTTGATATCTTGCCCATGCCTCCATGCAATAGTCTTCCTTTGTCTTAGATAATGGAGGAAGCGTCGTTGTGTTAATCCTTATTTTTCGAGAACTGGGTGATTCTTCATATTCAGGCAGCTGAGGCAAAACCACCTTCTGGCTCTTGTCAAATGATTACAAGGTTTTTTCCCCTCCAAGGTTGAGTGTGCTGATCTTAGCAAATTGGCTATGATATCTCTCGATGTCAATTATCAGTCTGGCTATTAAGAGCCTTATATGGTGCCCCTTGTCTACAAGAGAGACAGAGAACATAAACCTGTTAGCTATTTATATTTGGGGTCAGAATGTGAATGGCAGAACTCAGCAGATGCCTAAAGCACTAGCACACACAAGATTTGGGATTTGTCCTTTTTTAAATGCTTGTTCCATTGGGGGGGAAAAAAAGAGAAGTCAGATTTTATGGAGGTTGTTCATTCAGAGTAACAACAACAACAACCCTCCTTCCAAAAAAGCAAGAATTTTTGTTTTTGTCTATCACATCCACCTCAAAGTCAGTTTTGTTCCTTTAAACTCACTCACCCACCACCCCAACCCTCCCCCCCCCGGTCTATTTTCTCAGTGCTGGTGATGGTTTAATCTTTTTCAACCTCAAGTGCCTTTCTTCAGCTTTAGAAACACTTTGTTAATTTTAGCTACGCAGGACCTTCTTGTTGCTAAGCAGCTGCAGACATGACTATGAAGGGGTGGGCCTGCTCTTCAGCGCACACCCCTCGCTGGTGTCTCAGGCAAGAAGCACCCATAGGTTGCTTCCTGCAGCATGAGGACATTGCTCTGTTTTCCGTGTACACTCTAAGAATGATCTTCATTCCCGAATTTATGTCTCACCTTGCAGCAGTTGTAAGGTGTGGAAGAAGAGGCGTGTGAGTAGTGCTCTGGTACAGCTGGTAATGCAAAATTACCAACTGAGTGAGTTATCAAGTCTCAGCCCTGAGGGGTTTGTCTAAGAAACAAACATTGGCTCCCAGTGAGTGAGTTTTCTGACAGCGGTAAAGCTTTCCTCCTAAGGGACTTCAGGATAATATTGTCTATGAAGCATATTTTCCCACTGGCAATCTTCTCATGTTTCCTGTGCTTGTCTTTCGCAATCTTTACTAACTGGCTCATCTCCTGTTCCTCTTTTGTATCGACTGCTTCTTCTAAATTCTAGCTTTTTACTAACAAAGCAACCTATGAGGAAGGATGGCCAGGAAAGACGGTCTTTGCTAGAGTCCCTTGTGCATAGTAAAGATTCAGATGCGTTGTCAGATTGCACCTCAAACGAATGTGACAGCAGTTTTCTAAATTCTGGAGTGGGAGAAAAACTGCTGTCTGTCTCCAGTCATCAATCTATGACATGTTTGGAATGATTTTGGACATGTTTTATGCTTAAAACACAGTTGAATCTTATGATTATTATTAGGAAACCTAATGGGACACATTTTAGCTTTGCTGGTTTATTTGCATGTTTTTTCCCAGCCAGTTTGGCAAGTCTTTAAGTTTTTAATATGACCATTTCAATACAGTCACATTAGGCATAATATNTTTATTTATTTATTTATTTGAAGCATTTTTATATCATAGGATCTCAGGGCAGGTTACAGAGCAGTATCGAACAATTTCAAAACACAAGGTGTTTAAAACTGTTTAAAATTAAGTAGTTTTAAACACAATATCCTCAAAGGTTCTGATAAATAAGTACCAAATTTTTCCGTTTATAAGATGACCCAATGTATAAGATGAACAACCCGCTTTTCTAACCCCAAATTAGAAAAAGCAGGGATCAAAGGGCTCTCTTTTTGCTAAGCCCGGTGCCTTGGCAAAAGCCAAGGAAAGTGGCTATCAAAGTGACTGCCACTTTTCCTTGCCTTTTGAGAAGGCACGGGGCTTAGCAAAGAGGAGCAACGCCTCTCCTTCCTTTTTGCTAAGCCCCGTGCCTTCACAAAAGGCAGCGGTAAAGAGCTGCCTTCCATGTATAAAGCGACCCTCAATTTTTTCTCAAATTATTTAAGGAAAATGTGTCATTTTATACACGGAAATATATGGTATGTTTTGACTTGGTGCCATAATGATGCCAGTGCCGACACCAGTTGAGACTTGAAGGAGAGAGCATTCCACAGCTGGGGTGCTACGGCCAAAAAAGTCCTCCCCCATATCTCCACGAAGTGAACTGTTCTCAGTAGTGGAACACAGAGGGGGCCTCTCCAGCAGATCTTAATTGGTCAGGCAGATTTATACAGGGAGAGGCACTCCTTCAAATATCCAGGCATGCTGCACCTTTACTCTTTCCTTCATGTGACTTGACAAAAAAACAAAACAAAAAATAAAAATCTTTTGTTAGCAGTAACTCCCACTCTTACTGGAAATTAACAGATTCAGAACAAGCTGGGATATGAAATGAACTTGGAGCTGTGATTTAACATCTTGGCTTATTTTGAAAATGAACCATCATTATGTGGTTCATCTGAAAGGGAAAGCCATGATTCAGTGAAGACAGCTAAGCTGTTTGCTGGCTGATGTGAGAGGAAGAGCAAAGGAGCAACATGTGGGCATGTTTTGCTCATTATTACTCTTCTTAAAATATGATACAAAATATTATCCTGCTTAAGTCCAAATTTTGATATCCTTTTACATGGTTCTAAGTCACTGATATCATTAGCCTAGAAATAAACCCCACTGTCACATCCATTGCCAACCATAGCAGTCAACAGAAAATACTTTTGGGGCGGGTGAGAGAGAGAGAGACTTCCCTGAAAATAATATGAAAACATTGACTATTTGTGTTATGGTTTGTGCATGTAATAAGTACTGATACAAGCTCTGATATTCCAAAGTGCTTTGTACACTCATTTTACATATGGAAATTTAAAGTACATCCAGAGTAATTAAAGTCCTTAAATCAGAAGAGAGATCAAAACTAAATTTTCAAGAATAGTGGAGAAACATCCCATTGCATTTTGTATACAAAATCTCTTTTTTTTCCCAAAAAGTAATTTTATATTCTCCTAGGACTTGGAATCCCTTTGGCTATTTTATTTTAAAAACAGTAACAAAATTGGGAAAATGGACTATGTCCCTTGTTAGTCCTATCTGGAACAGACCCACTGAATCTTACATGCTACTTACCTAACTGTTAAAAGCATCCTTGCATTCAATGGGATAAATCCAGTCTAAATAACTGGATTTAGCCCATAGCATTAAATGATTGTAGAATTACTGTGCTTTTTTTTCGAAGTATGTGTGCCATCAGATAAAATCAAATAGCATACTATAAAATTGACACAAACCTGAAATAATTTATCATATTTAAGCTGTGAAAGACCTAAATTATAGGTCAACTTTTCCTTCTTAGCATCAGAGCTACTGGTATGCTCATTTGAATGACCACTGTAGAGATATTTTTTGTAAAGCCATTCAAACGTTCATATCTAGGTGCCCTATAAAGTGACTCCAGAATCTTGGTGGGATTCTCTCTCCCTTCTTCTTGTGATCTGAGGGTCTTTAATGCCACAAAGAAGCTGACATGACCCAATAACTGAATCAACTTTATGTTAGTAGTTTTCAGTATGTTTCATATATAGGCATTTAGTTTGGAAGCAAACGAATAATTCAAAACAGCCTTTGTCTAAGCATAGATTGACATGATATATTGTGAAGCTCTCCTAACCAGACAATACTGAAGTTAACATTGCAGATGCCTGCAGTATTTTTATCTTGTCTTTATTCAAGTATTGGGTATTGTATACTAGTACGTACACTGTTAATGGAATCTGTGCATTGCTGCTTGATTGACAAAGTGAATGCAGATTTTGTTGTGGAGTGTGTTAAAAAGAGAAATGAAAGTGGCCAAGGGCCAAAGAACAAGTCTAGGCATGCCTAGCAGGGTTTTTAGTTTATTTTTGTCTTGGGCAGCAGACAATTATCATATCACTAACTACTTTTCAGCATCCTGTCAGTTTCAAAAGTAGTTTGTCACATGCCATGGAACCTGTTCTGGTGAGCTCTTTGAGAAACATTTTGGTCTTTTGAGAGAGATGTTAAATGTACACAAGTACTTGTTCTTACAACTTTGATGATAATTTATTAAAACGGTAGCAATAAATGTAATCTTTCTTCAGTGCTCTTAATTTAAAGGTAAGGATGATTGTCCTCACAGGAGGTGTTGCACATCTTGGATGCTTTGTTTTCACAAAGCGGATATGGAAACGTCGGATGGCTCAAGTGTAGCAAAACCTGTTCTACTGCTTCTCCATGATACAAAATTGACTCCAATGAGTGGCTTCCCCTTCTTTCACCTTTCCCTTTTTGTTTTCATCCTTTTATATCAAAAACCTCCCCAACTCTGCCCTTTTGATCCACTTTCTAATTTTGATGTTGCAATGTGAAAAACTTGAAAACCCACCTTCCTTCCTCCCTCCCCTCCCCCCATTCCCCACCCTCCTTCCTCATTTTTACTTTAGGAAATCACCAAGCGGGAAGCCGCGAGTAGGCAGTTAAGCTGTATTCAGCTGCCTGTCGACTCGTCAGTGGTACGTAAGACCTTGGCATGAACATCCAAAGCGTTGTCTGATAGTTGTCTCTATCTCTCTTTCTCCCGATGTAGTAAACAATCACTTCATTGCCGTTGTTCTCATCATGGTAGATGTTTGGTTTTGATTTTGTTGTGGTGGTTGTCAAGTTAGCCTTGATTTTAAGTCTCTTCCTTCTTTGAGGAAATTCAAGCCTGCCTAATAAAAGAGAACCTCCTCAGAGTTTTAGCTGCTATGATTTTTCTTTCCATCCTTCTGTTTCCCTGCCCCCCCCCAAAAAAATGCCTGCCAAGGGAGTGCCATTTTAAGTTTCATGCCTTGACCAGTGGTCTCCATCTCATGGATCGGCCAAAAATCATGCTGCATACAATTTTTTCATAGCTGTAGGACTTGGCTGAGCCAGGATCACTGGAGCCTGACTGCATTTCCTGTATTTCACTTTGCTGAGCATTGCTTTCATGGATATAGGCTTCTGCTTCTAACTTGTAGGAGAGTAAATTATTATCCCACCTTCTCCAGTTATGACAATAATACAGGGGAGTATTTGATGAAACCCAGATTCTCTTCATGTCAATGAGAAATTGCTCTAAAGGATGCTCTAAGGGAAAATACAATTCTAATTGTGCACATAGGCCCTTACCCTTTCTGCATGTCGAGCTCAGTTCCCTTTAAGAGAGAAAGAGAGACTTGAGAAACCTATCAAAGACAGATGGGACCTAAAATCAAGCCTGCTTTGTAGATGCTCATGTGTGAGAGCACTCTGTCATCATGGAAAAGCCAATAACTAGAACTGAGGCAGCTGCAATTTCAAAAAAAAAATATCAACAAGAATCAAGAAGAAGGAACTCCTGCTGGCTCATTCAGTGGACCATGACATACTATTACAACACTTAGATGAAATTGCCTGGCCTGGAATTTGTAAAATAACTTAGAGTGCTTCCCCCACTTCATAATTTTATTAAATGTTGTGAAAGCTAGATCCTTAACAACTTCAGTAGCATGTTTAAAGGTTTAGGAAGGAGAAGAAAGAGGACAAACCTGATCCAAACCTGAATGTGACAAGTGCCAACACTGCTGAAGCCTTCCTTCAGGAAATCAAAAACATCACAAACTCTGGCTCTTCTCCCACATCCTATGCCTACCATGCGTCTACCCTTTCTCGTAGTATCTGTTTCTATTCAGTGTCATAAGTAGTGGCTTTCCTTTAGATCAGGGTCAAGGAACCTGTGGCCTTGCTGATTATGTTGGCCTTTAACTCCTATCAACGCCAAGCCAGGAATGAAGCATAATGGAAACTGTAGTTCAAGACCATGACAAGGGTCACAGGTTCGCTGGCCCTGATTCACATCCAAGGCCATCTATGCTATAGCTGAATGGCACCTTCCACATGTACTGGCGTATCTTCAGTACCTTGTCCCCAATCTCAAAGTCCTCAAGATTCTTTCTACAAACCAACAAAAATTCTCTTCAGTTGCTCATATGATGCCTATTTCACCAAGAAAGGCAAACTAGGAGTGCAGAAACAGGTAATAATTTTAATTCGAGTCTAGTAGGTGATGATTGCTTGCAGCTAATCTTAGTACTTTAGTATATTAAAGGGAGTGCTGGTGTGTCTTGTGTCAAAGGTGCTTTATTTTAAAGAAATGACGGGGTTTGGTGCTGGAGAGCTAGAGAATAAATGCAGTCCCCATTTTCTGAGATATACTATATGTCAAAATAACAATTACAGAGCTTTCAGGGAACTCGAAATAAATCATGCCTAATTTGAGGTTTATAGATCATAATGTCATTTTACGGCATTTGATCTAGTCTCACTTGTAATTTTAAATTAGTAATCAATTATTTAGCCTTTCTTCCATGCATTTTCTCACACATAGTGCTTTGACTCCAAACATTTGTGATGACATCATTGCTTGCACCTGCATCCTTTTGTGTGATATGTTATGTAAGAGTATATATTTCTTTGGCATGTTCAGCAAATGCACACATTGGCATGGGAACTTTCCCCCCCTTTGCTGTGGTACTGAGTATTCTCTACCTAGAAAACACTGAAAAGGGCCAACATAAGTCAGAGTTGACTTGACAGGACACAATTACTTTCCTTATCATTACACAAGAGAAAGTTTCAATTGAACTCCACACTGTATATAGATAAAAGTGATACTTATTTTGGACCACATCCTTTTACTGTGAAGGATCTATTGATCGTGACATATGAAGATACTTCTGCAATTTAATTAATAGGCATTTGGTCCATTGTGCAGTGTTACTTTATCTGTTTTAAAGCTCTTATATCCAGGAAAACATGGTTAAAACCTGGCTAAACCACTAATGAGTTAATCTATTAAAGTCTTAGGTTAATAGATTGGTGCTTCTGGTGATGTTTAATCATTCTCCTGAACTTAAAGACAGTGAGTAATTTTTAGTATGCCTCCTGAGCAGAACTCATCTTATTTCTGTTTCACAAGTTTCACTCGGAACTATTTCACCCAGTTCTGTGATTCAGGCAGGAGTGGTGTTATCCTATCACTTTGGGATGAACTCCTCGCCACCAACACCCAGGTCAGACTGTGGGTACAGATGGTCACAACAGGATCCTCCTTCGTCTGAGTCCATCTTATTGGAATAGCCCTCCCCTTTGGGTACATCCTTCTTTAACATCCCTTCCACCAAACAAAACAAAACAAAAAAAAAACAAAACGGAGTAATTGAATGCCTATGAGTAAGGCCTGAGGTCTTGTGATATTGATGAAGATGCAGAAGTGGAGGATTTCATCTTTATGCATTCTCTGTACTTTGATGGGGGGAAAACATCTTTCAAAAGCTCCTCAGCTTGATTGGAGAGAAATACATTATGTAGATATGTCCATTTGCATAGATAAACAAACATGGGTTTAATTGGAAAAAAATAAAGGTCATTTATGTTGATGCGGTCCTCTACTCTTTCATCAAGCTAGACTCCCAATCATGAGCCTCGTGGCGCAGTGGTAAAACGCTGTACTGCAGCCAAAGCTGTGCTCACGACCTGGGGTTCAAATCCCAGGTAGCCGGCTCAAGGTTGACTCAGCCTTCCATCCTTCCGAGTACCCAGCTTGCTGGGGGGGCAATGTCAGGTAGCCGGCTCAAGGTTGCCTCAGCCTTCCATCCTTCCGAGGTCGGTAAAATGAGTACCCAGCTTGCTGGGGGGGGGGCAATGTGTAGCCTGTATAATTAAAAATTGTAAAACCGCCCGGAGAGTGCTTGTAGCGCTATGGGGCGGCATATAAGTCCAATAAATAAATAAATAAATATTTTCAAAAGTTTGCTCTTTACGAGCTAGAGCCTCTTCTACTGCGTACATTTTGCCCAAGCACCAAAGGTCATCAAAGTGACATGCCAGGACTTCTTAGTGTTGCCGTGCAGACTTCTTTCTACTTTGCCATGGTTGCTGCCTTACTTACCTAGCATTCTAGCTTGAAATAGGATTTTGCTTTGCTTGTTTGTTATTGTCGCATACGCATTGTCTGTACATCTGTATTAATGGAGTTTATTATTTGTTGGAGGTATGATTTCTACAGGAAATCTGACTGGAATCACTCTCTAATACTCCATTCCTAACCAGCACATTTGGTTATATAATACAGATTGCATACCCTTAAAATCACCATATGTAGCAATAAATTGGTTCAAGTTACCAATTGGGAAAGTGTTGAAGAGCCTTTATTAATAATGCCTGATCAAAGAAACTTGTCAGTGAAGGAAACGGTAGAGGCTAATGAGTAAGTAGGTTATTTAACATAGAATTAAAGAGTCTCTAAAGTTGCTTTCTAATGAGGAAGACTTTTGTCATCTACAAGTGTTCCAATTTATTAGAAAGGGCTTACCAGTGTGGTAACTCCCCATCATCTACAACCAAGGAATCTCAATCTCTTGATTTCACAGTGAGAAGTCCACTATCAGTGCTATGGGCTAGTATGCCCATTTACCCTAACCTGTGTTGAACTAAACAGATAGTGACTGAGATCCAGTTGTACATCACAACTAGAGTAGGCCCAGTGAACTGATGGAACTTATGAAAGAGTTCACTCACTGAATCCTTAATGAATGTACCTACTGCTGGATTTCAAGCTGTATCTTATTCCTTCGAGCAGGTTACACAAATGAATTTGTCCTATAGATAAATTGTCCAAATGCTTTTTAAAAACTGCATGCAAAGGTCTTGATCTGAGCTTATCCATGTGGCTGCAGTGTCTGTCCTTGTTATATTCCTTGTATACTGTATCTTCCCTTGCATTCCCATCGTCCAACAGACTTTAATCAGATTTGTGATTAAAATGTGAGCTATTACGTGTGTGTGGTGTGTGTGTGTGTGTGTGTGTGTGTGTGTGTGTGTGTGCGTGAGAGAGAGAGAAGATATAGAGTAAAAGAAATATAAGGAAGAATTATATATATGTATCTATATTCCCAGGCAGAACCACACTCACCACCCATCCACATGTATATGTACACAAAAAGATATACATCCATATATATGCACACCTGGGAATTTAGATGTGTTAGGAGTAAAGCTTAGAAAAGTTACTTTTTAATGGCAACTCCCAGTCTTGCATCGCCAGTAGCTTCAAAGATCTGGAAAAGTACACAAAGGAGAGAATCTCTTCATATTTGGCCAGTGCAAAGTTTAACTGTGCTTCAATCTGAGATTCTAGCAGGAAGGGTTAAATTGTCTGTTTCTGCCTCACTCGTCTTTTAGTTGCTTCTGAATCATGTACAGCCTCTCTCTGCCCTTTTTGCAAGGGTAATGCCTGGAGAAACTGATGTGGTATAAATATGTGCATGCTTCATTTTGTGGAAGGTGGTGTCCCATTGTGGTAACAATTTCAGTGGAACGTTAGCTATCTTATTGGTGGAAAAAGAGCCCTTTTATTTAGAAGTCAATTAGAAAGTGAATTTTCAGAGCTAACTTTCACTCTTTTACCCAGCTTGCTGAAGCATTTTGTTTTGATCTAGGGTGATGCTACAAAGTCTGATTCAGAGGGAGAGCTTTTCCCTCATAATCTGGAAGAAGACTGTGGATTTAAGAATAGCTTTTCAAACCCAGCCTGTAAGTGACAATGTTGAGTGCAACTCATACTCCATCATGTATAAGTGTTCTTTCAGTTCAGCAGTGTGTTGTGTTTTTGAGCAACAGATACTGTTTTCCTTTAATGTTTAGTTCTTGAGGTAATATATGGTTCAAGGAAATTAGAGACAATTAGGGAAGACAATATGTTGAGGAGAAATATCCTCCTTTGCTGGAGAGGCAATGATGCCTTTAAGGAGGATTTTCAAGCTGTAAAAAAAATACAGTATGACTCATGGGTTGTCAGCTGACGGCAAAATGATACTTGGGTTAGTCACCTCCCGAATGATAGTGTAAGGGAAAAGGCTTATATTGTGGTACATGATCGTGGTCCATTTCCCTGCCTAATGTTTATGGTTAAGAGTGCCATTACAGTACGTATTTGAGAGAGAAGGGGACTAGCCTTGCTGGCATCTCTAAGTGGGACATAGATAAACAGAGTGTTGCTCTTTATTGCTTGTGTGTACACAAGAAAAGGCATGCAGAGATAAATGAGAACACCTGTACTCTTACACATAGAAATGTGCAACAATCCTTTTAGAAGGAAGGGAGGGATGAGAAGGAGAAGCTCCACTAGAACAGAAGCTTGGAGCAAAGACAGCAGGTGTGCTGGCTACCTAGATTCATGTGTCTCTGCCTATAAGATATGATCTAAATATACCTTGTTTTTCGCAGTGATGGCTCTTTGTGATCACCCAGAGCTAAAGAAGAGTTTGACTCCTCCAGTCATCATTCACACAGCCGCTACACCTATGTCCATGCCAAAAAGTGCCAACTGTGGAGAAGCAGCTCAGGGCTACGATTCCCGGAGAGCTAGTAGTGTCTCCATGGATCCTCATGCATATGATCTCAAATCCCCGGTATGTGAGTTGTATCTTGCTCTCTATGTCTTGCCTTTGTAGTCATTTCCATTGGTGTCAGTGTGGAAGAAAGACCTAACCTCTCCTCTTGCCTTTTAAGCTAATACCACCCATTTGAAGTCTTGAAACTGTGCTAATCAAGCGCAGGCCCAAGATGGCTACTTTTGTGGCAATCCTCAGTTGAGTTTTCTTCATGTCTTTGTCCATTTCATCTCAGATGAGTGCCCGGAGCTCTCCACACAGTCCCTGGAGTGCAGGAAGCAGCTGGAACAGCCGCAGGTCGAGCTGGAACAGCATTGGGCGGGCTCCCAGCTTGAAACGCCGCCACCAAAGTGGAGAACGCAAGTCGCTTCTCTCGGGGGATGGGAAGCAGAGTTCGGAAGAAGGAGAAAGCTCTGATGAAGAGCAGTCCAGCCGGACTGGGAGCATTAATGGCTCTATACCTCACCGCATGGAGTCATTGGAGACCAAAGGCTCCTTTGACTTCCAAGATACCTTGCAGGTGCCTTCTCTTTACCGGACCGGTAGCATACACAGTAGCCGCAGTTCTGCATCCGAGCGGCAAGACTGTAATGGCAAAACAACCTCCAGGGTCCTGGTACAGCAGCTTCATTTAGAAGATCCAGTTCCTGAGTGTGATGATATGGATGATGAAGGCAACTTGGTGAGTAGAACCTAGTGCCTCCAGTCCCTTCACTCGGATTGGATCACTTTCTGTTTTTAGGTGGAAGACCGGAGGGTTCTCATTCTTGTGTATTTAAATGCTAAGCATCACTCCAATGTATATATACTAAGTAAGCATCAGCTGGACGACACATATCTTGTAGTCATTGGGATCCAGGATTCAAAGCATGTAGCTGAGAGAAGACACAAAGCCCATAGCAACTGAGATGCATTCATGGGACAGAACCTAACTTCTTAAATCTAAGTGTTAAAAGAACAAAGATGATGAAGCCATAAACTGGAAACATATCATTTCAGCTCTTTTTCTTCATAAGCAGCCGTGTAATAGAGTAGGGCTCCCTATTAGTAAACACATAGTAGTCTTTGTGTATCTTTTCAACAGGAAGAGGCTTTAGTCTAATTAAAGTTGGATCAAGGAGAACCTAATTAGCAAACATTGGTTAAAAGCAGTGGATACTAGTAGAAGCAAGAGAAGAATCATCATTAGTTTGACCTGATTAGTGGGGGGGGGACTATTATTGTCCTGTATTTTAACTTTCCAGCAAGTCCTTATATTTTGAACTGGGACTTTACAGTCAGGCTTATGCAAATTACAGTACAGTTGAAGAATGCATAACAATATATAGAGGCTTATTACCAAGAAGTGAGGTGCATGCTGGCAGGCATTTCCAGCTTTAGCTCCATCAAGTACAGTTAGAGAGATTACACAGGGCATCTATTAAGAAGGAACAAGGCCCCTGGGCACCTAGAAGATACAAGAGGTGACTAATCAAATAAAAACCTGCAGACTTCCTTCCTCGTACAGCCTTGGCTCCTGAAGGGGCATGCAAGGACTCTGGAGACTGTTGTCTCCTCTCTGCAGTGCAGGTACAAAAACATGACAGGAACATCTCCACCAATTAGGAACAAATTCTAGAAGAGTAGCTGTGTAGGAATATTGCTGCAAATATAGCAAGTCCTATGGCTCCTTAACAACCAGGAAATTGACTGGGAGGTTTGTGGGCAAGAACCCTACTTCATGATGCATGAATGAGTCAGTGAAAATATTCGTGTGTCTGTCTGTGTGTGTGTGTGTGTGTGGAGAGAGACAGAGAGGTAGACAGACAGGCCGTATGCACATGGGAGGAAGTATTTCATAAATGTAGTGCCCAAATACAGAAGGCAAAGATGTCGATACACAGAAGTAAAGAGAGTCTTCTGACAAACCTACTCATTTCAGGCTGGAGTTCCACTTGTACAATGTGAGATAATTAGTCTTTCTAGTGAATTAACCAGGGTCAGTTACAACAGAGTCTTGAAGAACTTGTGTCAGATTTGCCAGTGAACTCCAATTCGGTAGCCTAGTATTTTTAAAAACACTTGTTTTTTTTTCCTTCTCCTTGAGAGTGTTGACTTGAGAGGAGGATTGGAGTGTTGTGGACTAACTAGACATGCAGTTTAACCTATTTTTAGTTGGGTACCTAGGAATTGAGGCCTGAGCAGCCATGGGTGTGTGGAGAGGTAAAATTTAATGTTTTGTCTCCCTGCTGCAGTTTTCCTCCCCCACAAAAGTTCCTCTTTGAAGGTGTTGCTGGCATGTCAAGGGAAGGCTCCAGGGCCATCATTGGAAGCTTCCCTTATTATTCCAGCACCAAAGGTAGAGAAGAATTTTTTTTGTTAAGACTGAGACTGCCAAAGAAAGTCAGATCTTACCTCCTCCACTTGGCGTATGCATTCATGAAATTGCTGTCATGGCCCAAAAATGTTCAGTCCTTGATTTCTCCCTGTTGCCGTTTCTAAGATCTGATTTCTGTCCCTTCATTTTCTTAACAGACAGCCTCCAGCTTGTATGGTGTAAACCATCAAAAGGTACTAGTGTCAATTGATGGCATGTGTCTCATTGAATATGTGCAGGTATACAACCCCATGACACTGCAGCTGATGTTATTCAGCTGCAGTAATGCTGCCCATATAGATAAGGAGGATGAGTTAGCACCAGGGTTTGATTCAGATACTTGAGAATTACAGCTGAGTCAAATACCAATTCTCATTTTGGAACCCTTAGCCCCTAATGTCTGTCCTCACAAACAGAACTTTAAAATGATCTTGTAATGGGCAGCCGTTCCGGTAGAAGCAGCAGGGGAAGCTATTACAGATGAGAGAAAAAGAAAAGGAACTTTGTCCATATGAAAATATTTACTTGGAAGTTCTTAAGCTCAGAAGCTTGCTCCAGTTCTGTTGCATGTATTTGTTGGTATAACCTCCTCCAGTTGTTGTTGTTGCAACCCATTACAATCCATGGGAGTTGGGCATTAAGCTCTTAAAACTATTGCATTAAAAAAAGAGAGACTGGTCTCATATTACTCTGAATATTTGGTTTTACAAAGATTTGTGACTTGTTTTGGAGCTTCAGGTTAACTTTGGAAAATTAAAGAATGGCAATCACTTTTTCCTGTCAGGTGTCTCCAACTGTCTGCTTTCCCACTATCCTCCTTATGTCTTGGATAACTGTTTCGAGAGCACTGCTCTTCCTGCCAGTGCACTTTAATAATCTTGAATGTACGTTAATAACGCTAGAAGTTGCCAGTCCAAGAAATTTCCCAGTGTCCTTTGTAAGTAAAACAGAGATTGGTATGAAAGAGAATGAAACACATTTGATCCATCCAGTGTTCCCCTTCGATATATACATTCACATCTGGAGTGTTAGAGCCTTTGCTCGCCTTAGAACAGTGCAGATTTTCCTCACAGTGTTTACTATCAAATGTATTTGTTACAGAGTTTTCTTCCTCCACATCTTTATTTATTCATTCATTCCGACCAGGTGTGTCTTCTGAAGTAGTCAGGGTTTGAATAACATCATTGAGGCATCACTTGTAACATAATGTGAGCTTTAGAAGCAATCAAGCTGATTGTAAGCAAGCTTGTATCTCTGGCCTTTGCAGAAAAAAGGATCTGCATGAGTTGAGTTAGAAAGACTATTTTAAAAATACCGTACAAAATCTGGGATCTGAATGTGGACTGTCTTCCTCTGGGACAGCTCAATATTCTTGATTTACAGTCGTGCACCTAACCTGTTTCCCTGAAAATGAGACCTAACCTGAAAATAAGCCCTAGTAGGATTTTTCAGGATGCTTGTAATAAAAGCCTTACCCCAAAATAAACCCTAGTTAAGTGAAACCCCGCCCTCCATCCTTTGCAGCAACTAGAAGAAGATGACATGACTGTATTTGAATAAACGAAGATGGTTGTACATGAAAAAAAATAATAAAACATCCCCTGAAAATAAGCCCTAATGTGTTTTTGGAGCAAAAATTAATATAAGACCCTGTCTTATTTTTGGCGAAACACAGTAGGTGTTAATTTCACTGTCTCAGATTGCCCCCAGCAGGGTCTGAAGCTAAGCAAATGTTTAGCCAAGGAATATTGAGTGGGAAATGGGATCACCACCCACCGTTCTCTCTGTATATTCTCTCATTTGAATGATGGGCTTGAAACAATTACACAAACCCAAAATATCTCTAGCATTAAAACTGAACTAAAGGAATGTGAAAGGGCATTCTAGGCTGCTGGCACATTCTCATTTCAACTACAAAGCCTTAAGATAAATGCCAAGTAATGCTCTGAATTGTAGATGTTTTTGGAACCCATTCAGATTAAAATTATCTGGACGAATTTACGACTACTACTAGATGTCCCACGGGAGGCCTTTTAGCTGAAACATCAAGTGGACATAACCTCTTTACATAACCCTGCCTAATGAAGCCAGTCTGACTGGAATTTGAGGATTAGATGCTCTATTTTCAGGGTTCATTTGGGATTTGATCGGGAAACAAATAATACATTTTGCTGCGGGACAAAGAAGTAAAGATCAACAATAAATTTAAATTTGCTTGATAGGTACAGTTCTTGTTCAAGAGTTCAGTTTGTCACCAAGTGATTTCTTTACAGTGTCACTCTTCTGCTTGTTATCAGGGCTAATGAGGTTCAGAAGCAGAGTTCGTAACAAAGGAAAATTCTGTCCCTCCCTCCCTCTCCCAGTTTCACCTATTCTGTTCAATTACACTGACAGATCCAGTTTTTGATTGTCAAGAAAACCTAGTTTAAGAAGTACTGAAGACTTAGTGGTTCTATGCTATACTCCTGGAGTGTTTGAGATGGCCAGGTCAGCAGGACAATACCACTTTCTTGTTTGTAATAATCTGGATGGCTCTGGACTGGTGGTTTTTGGTGGTGGCAGGGTATGTGTGTGTGTTTGTATTATTTTTTGTTTGTTTTTACAAAATTCCTAATGTTTGTAAAAGCAAGGTATCAACTATGACTCCAAATGTCAAATAGAACTGTCTCAGTTACACATTTGATTTAATTAACTGGCTCGGGCAGAAATTTTCAGGTACTATAGGGAGATGGTTCATTGAACCATAAAGGTGGTAGTTGCTTGATTTGGGATGGGACTGCACTGCCCTTCATATCAGAAGTGGTCGGGTGTAGTGGATCCAGATTTGCATAGGGATGAATTAATTCGTGCATCAGTGGCATGAAGTGCCTTTCATCAACTTCAGCTAACATATCAACTGGGCCCAATTCTCAAAAGAGATATTCTGGCTGTAGTTATCCATGGGTTTGGAACATCCAGACTTTACTGTGACAGCGCATTATACATGACGCTTCCTTTTCAGCTGGTCCCGAAAACATAGCTGCCACGTTGTTCCCAGGGACTTGATGTGTCCAACCAACTCCTCCAATGCCTAAAGGTTGCCGTAGGGGCCCAGTGTGTTTCCAGCTACAATTCAAAATGAAGGTATTAACCTGTAAAATCCTAAATACATAGGCCATACCAGTGTAGAACAGGGAGGCAAACACCCTCTGGAGACAAGTATATTTCTTCCATGATTGCATTTTGCAGGCATATCCAGAACTATAGGCAACCCCCGATAAGTGACAGGTGAGCTGTGCTCCCCTCTGCAAGGCAGAGGTCTTTATGCTTCCTTTGCACATGCCCAGCACTTCATAATGACAGACATTTAAAATTAAAATGTTCATTTACCCTGAAAGAATTGTGTGGTGCCATAAAGCCATAGTAATAATATGCCTCATGGGAACTCTTATTTTGCTCACAGAAGTTACAATTTTTATGGCACTTCCCAAACTGATTTTTTTTTCCTTCAATAGGACCTCTCAGGGAGTGTGAATAATGGTTATTCTGAATAGCTGGACCTTTTTTTATTATGATGTGAAAAACAAAATCCATTGAAGAAATGCTAATTGGAAGAACAAATCAAACATAAATATCATTTTCTATGCAGTCCTCTATCCTTGCTTTGGAATAAACTCAGAGTCAAGGCAGTTCTTTGCATTTTCGGAGTTTCTGGTTGGAACAGAGAAACACAGGTTCCATTAGTTATTGCCTACACATATGGGGCAGGAACAGTGATGAGGGGTTGGGCAAGATGGATCTGGGGAGAGGCATCATTCAACCTGGCCCCACACCTGATACTAATATCGGAACTGCAAATGTATTTACATTTTTAATTTCAAACAGGATGATTTCTTTCATACTCTGCACACCCAGAAAGGGCTGGATAAATAGGCATCAACAGAGATGTCAAACATTTCAAAGATGAAACAAGGGAGGATTTTTCCAGCTCATGGCTAATATTCACATGCTCAAATTATTTGACATCTCTTTAGGTTTGCGTTTCTCCCCTTGAGGACTTCTCTGATTTGTTTTGTCTCACTTGCCTTAATTTGCTTTCCAGCAGACTGTGGTTTCTACATGTTTGTGATCTGACCCGTGTAAATAGAACAAGCAAATTGCAGTTTTGTTTGATGGTTTCATTAAGACATTTTTTCCTAGTGCATTGAACCATTCTGCTCAATGACTGTCCATGTAGACATCCCTTGTAGACTATGAAATCAAGATTAGGCTTTTTGAATTGGCAAATTCAAAACTGAATTTTGTTCAGTCTGCTGAAACCCCATGGTTTCTGGTCATGGTTCGGAACTGGGTATCATAAATATAAATAACCTTTCCTGCCAAGATGGATCTGGCAATAATGTTCAGTATGAGATATATTTTCAACACTGCTTGATTACTGTGCCAAGTCCACAAGAGTCCTCCCGTTATGTTTGTTCTGTGGGAGTTGCTACAGTGCAGTTACTTCCGGTGCCACCCACGCAATGGCAGAAAGTTCAGGCCCCCTTGACTGATCCCATCCAGTGTCTACTCCTCACTTTGACGTAGCTCCATTTTCCAGGAGAGCTGGCACAAGGCCAGAGAGGAGCCACTGCTTGGCCTCCATTTTCTTCATGGCATGCTAAGGCATCCTTCCTGTCCTGCTGCAAACATAATGAAAGACCCTTCTCACATTATGTTTGCCCCACGACATGAGTTGACTTGTTGATATCCACATTTAGTCTGGTTTGCACATTACATCGAGGCAAGCAGTAGAGACACAAGAGTATTGATACACGAGTTTGCCCTGCTTAATCTGCCACCACAGTATCTGTAACATGAGCATTGTGAGTGATATGCAGAAGATAGTTAGGCCTGAAACCTGTTAGACACTGGCAGAGTATAAAGCCCAACTGGAGTAAGACTTTACTTATGCAAGCATTGCCCTTGTTTAAATTGCCCTTGTTTAAATGGAGAATGCTGATAATACTACCTTGCTTGCACTGAGGCAAGGAGATTTTGGATGCCTTTGTACACAACTGTAAAAAAAGGCACAGTGCTCACATTGCGGTCATTGATCAAGCAGGTTGATTCTATCTATATGGGGTGTGTGTGTGTGTGTGCATGTGCATGCCTGTATATATGTCCCACCTTTCATACAGGGTGTTCAAGGCTCTCTCTCATCACTTCAACATAGCTGCACACACGCGCGCGCACACACACACACACACACACACACACTTACATTAACTGTAAATTATATTAGGCTGATACATTGCTACTATGACTGCACCTATGAATGTGTAAAACATAAGGTTGTAGTTCTTCAGAATAGTTGATGTACAATATACAGTATGTTAAATAAAACACCTCTCTATATTTCAGCCATAAAAGCAACCAGCCAACCAGAAATCCTGTATTCATTTATTCTGTGATCTAAAATATTGTCATTTTTATGTTTTGGTAATACATAAGATAAACAGTTGTATTTATTCTTTCTTAGCCTGCATTTTACTCCCAGTGACTTTGCTTCTAAAGGACAACTGCCCAGTTGGAGGGTGTCTTTAAGCAGATACTGTGCATAGCATTGCATCCTTTTGTAATACAATTCTCCAAGTCTCTGTTCCTCTTAGCCACCTACCTCTTTACACTGATTCTGTAAGTGGAGGAGCTTGCCTTTACTTTTAGACATTATTAATCCATCCTGGATCAGCACAGCATGAGCAACAGCTCCACATAGCCAGATGCATTGTTTTATTCCTTGTTTTACATCCAAGATGTCACATATGGAGAAGGACTCCAGCTTGCACACCTGCAAGATTTCCTTCAGGTATCAGGAATTCTTCCACTGTCTGTTTTTCAGGTTTTGGATCCTGTGTGTGTGCTTTTTTTAATGGGCATTGAAGTTACTCACGAGGAACCGATCAACCTCTCACTGTGCAAGTTCTGAGTTTCTTTTTCTCCCTCTCTTTCTGTCTTTAAGAGCAAAAAAGAACGGATGAAGGCTTGGATAAGGGCACGCCTCCCTGCCTGTTGCAAAGAAAGAGATTCCTGGTCGATCTACATCTTTGCTCCTCAATCGAAGTAAGGCAAATCCACTTGATTAATTTGAGAATTGTGGCAAGCAGGTCTCCAGGACTGTGTGCTCTGGGTGGTGGGGGAAAGATTACAGTATAGACTGGGACAGTCATAGAGCTCTTGTAAAAGTAACTGTTGCCAAGAAAACCAAGCAAACAAGCCCGGAAGGGGCTGCCAGAGGAAAGACTCGAACTTCGGCTCGCAGGGGCTGCACCCAACAGCACTTCTGAAATCCCTTCATTCCATTTTGCACCTTAGTTACAGACTGCACCAACAGCTACCCTCTATCCCTGAAAATAAGACCTATCCTGAAAATAAACCCTAGTATGATTTTGCAGGATGCTCGTAATATAAGCCCTACCCCCCAAAAATAAGCCCCAGTGAAGTGAAACCTTCCCCTCCACCACTGCGCAGCAACCAGAAGATGACATGAATGAATGTAAATGGTTGTACATGAAAAAATAAAAATAAAACCATCCCCTGAAAATAAGCCCTAATGCATTTTTGGATCAAAAATTAATATAAGACCCTGTCTTATTTTCGGGGAAACAAGGTAAGAGCTTCGGAGAGACACCATCGCTCACTAGTGGAGCATCTGCCCTGCCCATGGAAGGTTCCTGGAGAAGGTTCCTCCATTTTCCAAGAGCACTAGGTGGTAGTAGTTGATGAGAGATGGATTCTCTGCCCCCCCCCAAAAAAATCCTGGAGGCAGAATAGATGGGACTGGGCTAGATCAAGAGTGTGTTGCCAACCTACAGAGATTCAAGGGCTGCCTACACCCATTCCTCCACCTATATATTTGGGGGGTGGATGAATGCAGGGGACCTCAAGGGGGCTGGGGAACGGATGCATTTGATCTATATAACCACCTTCTTTCCAGTCAGCAAGCATTTATACTGTATTTGTGTTTTGTTAAATAAGCCAGCTACTAAGAAATTCAGTAGCAGAGGTGAAACAAATTTCTTTCTCTGACAGTTATACACTATTCTCAGTCATACATTTTGAAGGTGGTAGCAGTGAAAGCAGAAATGGCTCCTTCCAAAGTACCTCTCCATTGGCAGAAGTCTTCATCCTACCCTTGGTTTGTTTGGGGCTCCCCCACTTCATCCTCTCTGTGCCAGGACACTCCCCATTTTTAAGGGCCTCCACAAGAAATACGAATCCCATGATGAGATGGGATTTCTTTATGCAAAGCTATGCATGTTGTTTATCATCAAAACATACTGGAACAGAGCAGGAACTTCCCATAGTCCTTAATGGGTGCCTTCTGGTTGGGAGATCTCCTGGTCTACTCCACAGACAAAATTAGACAGAACTCCATTTGATGAATGGAATCAGAGAAGAACTATATAGCTTGGCAGTAAAGCCCACGCGTTTCTTGCAAAAGGGGATTTGTAGAAGCAAATCTCAAGTTCAACCCCCAACACCTCTGGGTTATTTCCTAATGCTTGGGAAAGACTCTTATCGAAGATCCTGAAGAACTACTAGCAATGACTGGAGATAATACTAAGTAAGATAGATCAACAGTTTGACTCAGTATAAAGCAGCTTCTTCTAGTGAAGAAGGAATGCACTTCTCCATGTGGCCATGGAAATACACATATGGCCATACAAAATTAATCTGTGTTATCTTTTTTCCTGTGATGACAGAAGAATCCCAGAAATGTCATCACACATAATGAATGTTATGAATAGGAACTCCTGGCCGCCATGGAAAACTGCTGGATGCTTGCACTTGAGCAGCTGCAGCAAATCAGTATATTACCAAATGCTTCACAGTCACTTAGACCTTATGATGATGTTTTCCTGGCACCCCTAGTTTGTTTCATGTGGGGCTTCCATCAAAGTGGTTATGATCAGTGACAAATTTAGTAAGACTTTTCTTATTTGTTATCCTCTTTTCTCAAGAAATGCCATGGTTAAATTGGAAACAAAGGGCTGAACTAGATGCAAATTTGGGGGGACTTAGGACCAGCTATCCTGTGGAGGGGGTTGATATACAGAGACAATAACCATAAAGGAGAGAGGGTTAACTCTTTTCTCCGGGCAACATTTTCCTCATCTTGATTGCCCTTCCCAAATCTGGCGTTTCTTCCCTCACAGGAAAATATACAGGTACCCAGGACAATGAACGGTAACTCTTGGGTAAACATACAGCCACCACTCAAAACAGAGATAGTATTTTTTTCCCCTTTCAGTTCTCTTAGCAGTATCAGGCTGTTCAAGCCAAGAAAGACAATCAAAGCCCTAATCCCTTTTGCACACTTTTTGGAGTGGAATATTGACGAACATGCTTGCCTATTTTTGCAGATATTTATTGTAGGATAAACATGGAACCTTTTGATTTAATTCTGGAGGAACTTCAAATTACTATCATTTGTTTTGAAATGTGTTGGGATCAAGAGGCTTAGGGTGAGATCGTGTAAAGCCAATATTTCTCAGGCCCTGATAGATTAGAAGTCCTGTCTTAAAATTAAAAGTAAAACCATCCTCATGCAGATTTTTTTCTTCTTCTTCTTTTTCTTTTAAAGGAAAGGAATGGTCTTTTCTCAGAGGATCCCGTTCCCACCACAGTCCCACAGCTTTTGCAAGATTGGCTAATCTGCTTATGCCTTTGACTGAGAGGCAACAAGCACACATTGGCCGCTCAAGCGGAGACGCTGTGGGTGGTTCTGAGAATAAATTGTGCTGCTGCCTCTCTCCATCAGGAGGGCATGGAGAGTCCTGTTGCGCTCCTTGCAGAGGGCGCCATAGCCAAATGGATCACTGGCCTCCAGCAGAGGATGCTGGGAAAGTGGCCAGGGTGGAGAGATGGAACATGGAGAGAAAAGCAGTCGGCAGCTTCCCCTATGGTTGGCAGTTTGGAGTTATCAAGAGAGGAAAAAATAGAGCAATCGATGCTAAATTTCCATGGCATGCTAGCAGCTCTCATGGCATAGAGCTTGGGAATAAATAGGGTATAGCAAGGCAACTTTTTTTTTTTAAAAGGCAAGTGTAAATGTTTCTGAGAGTAGAAGATTTTTAAAACAAGAGGGTTGAGTTCACTGGAAGGACCTTTGTGGGGAGCAGAAGCTTGAAAGGGCTCTCTCATGCCTGTTAAGAAACCTCTGATCCCAGACAATTAATAATAGCTGCAGTTTTCTTCTAATGAAAAACACACAGGCACATGGTCTACTTGAGATTCCTGCTAGTGCCAGTTGGGGTTCCAGCTTCGTGTGGGACAGAAAGAGAATTGTAATAAGCATCTGTTTTGGAAAAGGGGCAGCAATCCCAATGTATAGGTTGTGTGACTGGAAATCTTTTCTGTGTTTTCTCTTCCTCTTCCCCCTAGATTCCGTATGATATGCAGTAAAATCATCAGTCACAAGATGTTTGATCATATTGTCTTGGTTATAATTTTCCTGAACTGCATCACCATCGCGATGGAACGTCCCAAAATCGATCCACATAGTGCCGTGAGTAGTAGCCAATCATGTTGCCACCTGGTCAAGAAGATCAGGCATATGCTGGGCATTTATCAGCACCTGCTCCAGAGCATTGGTTTATTTGCCAGAAGTGTATGGAGCACAAAAGAGAATAAATGCAAAATAAATATAATTACAGTGGTGCCTCGCATAGCGAGGTTAATCCGTTCCAGATTAACCTTCGCTATGCGAAAACATCGCTAAACGGGTATAAAAAAGCCATAGAAACGCATTGAACTTCGTTCAATGCGTTCCTGTGGCTTGAAAACTCACCGTTAAGCGATGTTTCTCCATAGCGCCGCCATTTTCGCACCCTCGGTAAGCGAGGGCAGGGCGCGAAAATGCGGCGCGGACCTTCCGGCGGCCATTTTGGAACCGCCGATCAGCTGTTCTCCCCCGCTGCGTTCTGCGAAGATCGCTAAGCAAATCGCTTAGCGATCATCGCAAAGCGAAAAATCAAGAAGATCAGGCATATGCTGGGCATTTATCAGCACCTGCTCCAGAGCATTGGTTTATTTGCCAGAAGCGTATGGAGCACAAAAGAGGATAAATGCAAAATAAATATAGTTATTCTGATTGTTATATGAGCAAGAGATTGGAGTAGGTGCCTTGCTGCATCTCTCTATCTAGGGAAGATTTTGTCCCTCTGACAACCTAGAGATTATAATTTTCATGTAGCTTTTACTAATATTGGTCAAAATTAAGATGTATATATCAGTATCCAATAGTGGTAAAACTGGGACTTACTTTCCTTCCCCTTTCAACCCTTTGTTGTATCAAAACACAGCTCCGATTGAGTAGCCACATGCTTTAGCAGAAGAACATCATTGCCACGGACATTATGTGCCTATACTTTCTGGACCATGGAAAGTAATACAAGAAGGATTAAACTGAAATCAAAGAGAAAACTGTCTTTTTTGACTGACAGGCAAAACTGAGCTTTCCTCTTCACTCTGGCACATGTGTGACCTTTCACAAGAGATGTGTGTGAGGAAAAGACAACCTCCTCAGCAAGATCAGGGAGGACTTAGAGACAGAATAAATAAATGTATGGTTTGAGCACACATTGTGGTAGGAGTGAGGGACATCTGTGGGCTGCTCCTTAGGCTGCATCCCTTAAGTGGCACCTCTGCTGTTTCTGCAAATAACAGGATGGCCACTGTCAGTAGCATCCTGGGAAATCTTCTAGGAAACGTGGTGCATGCTTCACAGATTCTCTGGGATTTTGACTGCAGAAGCTCCAGTGATGGAGATATGACCGAGGAGTCGCTCATAATGGCCTCACTCTTCAGGGCTGCATATTCCCTAGCCCTCTGTTATGGGGATCACAGATACAAACATACAGGCTGTGCTAAACTAAAGACAACATTAGTGTCTTGAAACCAAAGCTGGTTTTACAGCCACATCCAATCCACTTTTAGCTCCTACTACACACAAGCAAAAAGGCAAATGTGGCTTCAGTTTTGCGTTGCTGCCTGGATCCAGTTTGTAGTTGTGTATCTCCCCATTATTAATGCACAACTGACTTCAAAATTTGCACTGAGGTGCAATATCCATGTATCCTTGCCCTGCTTCCACTCCTGGGTCATACATTATGGCAACATACAAAGACCAGGCCTCATCTGTTTATAATTGGCTGCGGGCTTGCTTTGCTTTGCTTTGCTCTTCACCTGCATGGTGTTAATTGAGCAATCAGTGCTCCTTCCCAGCAGTGGGGTGCAAAGGGTTTCCACTGCTATTGGCTCTACCCCTACCAAGCTGCCTTTAATTTTGCTTTGCGGTATCCAAGCAAGTATCCATGTATTGAAGACAGCAAGGCTTCCTCGCGTTCTTTTCTTTCTTCCATCCTGTTTCCCAAGGCAAAATCAGCATGTCATAATATATGACACAGCTATGGCATCTGTCACAATGTTCTTCCCCAGTAAATGTCCCGTCTGCTTTTTTTCCTTTCTTTCTTGGGTTAATTTTTGGTCCTTTCCATCTGTTCCATGTTGGAATTCAAGAATGGCTGCTTTTGGACTTTCTCCTCCTATTTTTTTATCCATGTCTGTTTCGATGGGAACAAACACCATTGTTCTACTTCACTGAAACATTTGTGTTGATCAATTTCTGGGGAGTTCCCTCCCCCAACCCAGACTTTTCATAGCCACGGCATCTGCCAATTAAATCCCCACCGGAAAAAGCACATTTGTGCAATTGTTCTCTTATTTAATTTTGGTTTCTTGCTGCCTGATCCTATTCATACTTACGCAGAGATAAGTCCCACTGAGTTCAATCGGGCTTACTTTTTGGTAAGTATGTGAAGGGTAGCAGTTTTAGAAAGGCAAAGAGACAGGCTGAGAGAAAATGCGCCGCCACCAGCAACAGTGTTGTGGATTGTTCCTCTTACATTGCTAAAGTTTATTCAGGGTCTAACTCTGTGCTCTTATTTTCCTTTAACTGAAATCCAGAGCAGAAGCCAGGTGGGGTAGAATGGGGATCATAGTTAACTTGAATGAAATGAATCCATTTTAATCCTATGAGTTTCAGGTATTATTTATTTGGATATTTACAGATTTAAAAATCTGATTTTAAGTACAAACTTGGTGAGACTTTAAAAAAAAAAAAAAAAAGACCCGTTGGGTACTCTGGGAGAAGGAATTCTATGACATTGGAGTACAAAATGGCAGCTCTGGCCACTGAAATGTTTTTATTAATTCCATGTAGTAGCAGCTCCTCCCAGCAATATTAGCATTAGGCCTTGATGTTGTTTTTCATCAACCTAGAAGACACTGCATTATTTGAAGACCTGCAAGCACATTTCCACACACTTTACTCCTGACCTTTTCTCATCGGTCTGTCAAAATGATTTTTTAAAACTGGGGCAGGGGTGCTGGCATTTTAAAAGCAAGTTGCAAGTAGCAGAAGTATCTGCAACAAATATTAATTCTTTAAAACTTCTGTGTGTTTGCTTAGGAGTAAGCTCCTTTTTGAACAATGTGAAACTCATTTCCAAATAAGCATGCCTGATTTCAATGTTCCCCTAAGCTTGGGTATTTCCTGGATCATGTCCAGGAGCAGGAGGGACTGTATGTCCCATAGACTTCAGTGGAATGCCATGCAGTCTGAGTAGTTCAAGTCTAAGCTGTTACCAAACCACAATTTGTGAAAGTCTGAGGTGGGAAACCATTTTCATATTAAAAGCTGCATACCCTCAGGAATGACAAGTTGGTGGGCCAGGTGCCGGCAGTGGGTCTGAAGCAACAGGTGAAGCCAGACACCAAAAGATGTTGGCCCACTTTATATGTTTTCCTCTTCCCCCTCTCTTTCTCTCCCTGCTTTCTCTTATGCCAGCTGGATTGCAGCGGTGGGATAGGTCATTCTTTCCAATGTCTAAGTTGATAGCCTTCAGAGAACTTTGCAGATGAGGCTGAATGTCACATGAAAATAGGCAAGGGCTGGGCCAGCCCCAGTTCAGGTTGTTCAGAGGTAGAGGATAGCTTTAGAGTGTTGCATGATCTATATATGGCTGTAGCAGAAAACAAATGTAAGGTTCTGCTTTTTCTTTGCTTGTTTTGTTTTTCAAAACCCGAATATGCGTGTAAGTTCATTAAATGTGCTCTTTATTAAGACTGGGTGTTTTCTGCCATTTGTCAAGCAAGGTTTTGCATGTATCCACTTGAAGTTCTTTTAAAAAGAACACCCTTTTAATGAGAAAGCATTGGTGCTGCTCTACATTAACTTGTTAACTCTTACATGAGTGACTTGGATGAAGCAAGAGCTATTCTAAGCTCACAGACCATTATTAAGTTTCATATGCCCTTTTAAAAAAATGTTTTCCCCTAGTACATGTTGTGAGGGAAGCTGTTAGGAAACTGTTGCACACATTTAAAAATTAAATCCAAAAGAACAGTTTGGCATCTGGTTTGGTTGAATTTAGCCATTGTTCTTTGCATGTAGGACTCTGCTTAAAAAAAGAAAAAGAGGTATTTTGCTATGTCCAGAACTAGCCATTTATAGGGAAATGATAGGAGGATTTCAGAACTGTGCCTGTCAAGACAGCACACAGATAATGGAGGCTCATGAGAAAATATTTAGTGCCAGACCAGAAACACTAAAAAGACAGGTGAGAATCAAGCAGAAATGGGTTTTGTTTTGGAAACAACTTCTGAAGCAGAGCCGAGATCTGGAAGTAGTTGTAAACTTCAGCTGAGGATGAAAGATGGGCATAGGAAAGGTTAAAGCAGTTAGAAATAGAAGTTGGAAGGGTTGGTGGTAGGGAGTTGAAGCAATGAAATCGGGAAACCAAAGGGAATAAATAAGGACCAGGATGGATGCGGAAAGAATGCCAGGAAGAGGGACGCAAAGAAACTTTGGCTCAGACAGAAAGACTTGGGATACAAGTGTGAAGAGCCTGGAGTGTCCCAGAATGAAAGAGCATGGATGCATGTTAACCACAGAAATAAATTGCGCAGTCAGGATAAAAGAGGATATGGTGCATGAATCATGGCCTGGCAGGGGACATCAAAAGTCCTTTCAGGAAGTGCTGGGGGGGACGACAGTGTAATACCCCAAAAGAGAGCCAGAGCTGCATACTAACATCTTCCTATGACAGAGTTCGTGCCTAGAAACTAAAATAGATAATTTTTTAAAGCTTCAGTTGTTTCAAATAATCATCCTGTGCCTTCCAGAGAGGTGGATTTTCTAACTGCCTCAGGCCAGTTCCCTTGCTCTCTCAGATCCAGTTAGGCTGTCACTTCAGTGGCAGATGGGGGAAGGAGTGCTTTTCCTCTAGTCAACATGAAATGCTTTTCCGGAAGCTCGTGTCTATAACTTGTAGAGATTGCGCTTGAAAACTGCTATAAGCTTCACACTAAGGAGTCTAATATTCCAAATCTCTTCTGCCTGCGATTAATATTTTATTTGCTGCCTTTAAAGCAGGACCTTATCCTGCTCTCCCCAGCACCTTGTCTGCATGGCACACTTGCTGCTGACCTTGCAGAGCCGCCTTTTGTGTCTAGGGAGACTTGTATGGTCACTGCCAGAGCCTGGAAGATGTGATTAATTATAGATCTGCCAGCCTAGAAACTGGCTATTTATTGATTTCTGAGTCACTCTCTGTAAATCATGACATAGCATGTTTGAGTTTTCAATTATATTTTATGCTAAAGGCATTTTCTTCTCTCTTTTTGCATAACAAGAGATTTATGCAAGACTTAATTTCTTTACATTTCATTGTAAAATGTAACATCTATTAGCTACTTCTGTTATCAGAAGCTATTATCCTGTCATGAAATGTGACCTAGAGAGGATCTTTAGACTTTGGGAACTCTGTGAGCTTTCGTCAAGCTGTGAACAACAATGATATATATATATAGATTTTTAGTGCCTTTCAGAAAAGGTGGGAAGGATAATGATGGTGAAGTTATGACTAGAATGGAGTAGATAAGGACTGTAAGGCATTTTGTGGATTCACATCTTGAATGTACGTGTAAATAATGTAAGCATTGGTTGCTGTGTTCCTCCTCCCACCAACAACACCAACACCTCTGTCAAGCCATGTCTGGTATAATGAAAAACTTTGGGTGTTCGCTTCTTGCTATAGCACTGAATAGCCTCTAGGGTCAAGCAATTCACACTGGCAGACAGGTGAGCAGGAGGACAATATAAAACTTCCCTGGAGTTGTCTGACCAAGGTAGGGCCAAAGAAAGAGTACTTGACTTCGGGTCTGTTAGCTTGAAAAAATGCTTTGCATCATGTGCTCATATGTGCCTAGGTTTTTAGGGCTTCATGATAATTATTTTGAAAGTAACGTCGACTGGCTTAAATCTAGATTAGACCCATGAATTAATCAAAAATAGAACAGTGAATTCAGCATTTGTGCAAGTCCTATTGATTTAGTGGCCATGATCTTATTGCTAAGTTTAGTAAATTCCACTGAATCCATAAGAATTTCGTGTCAACTCCTCCATAAATTCCATGGATTCATATGGACTTCCTCTAACTACACCTTACTTTAGCATAGTAAGTCACAACTAGAATCAGTGGAACTTGTGGAGGGGTTGACACACCAAATCTCCATTGATTTAGTGAACCTGCTCTAGTGCAATTGACATGAACAATTTGATCTAGTAGCTCAACCCATTAGTCTCCTTTCATTCTGCTTGAAACTTCAGTTGATGTGCACTACCACTCCTTGAGCACATACCATTTCTGATGCCTGTTACTTTACATCAGAGATATCATGTATTCTGGAATTACCAGCAAAGGGAGATGGGTATTGCCAGAGATTCTACAGATGTGGAGAAGGACAATAGATTGTACACATGGGAGAAAGAGATCTAAATAGCCCATCCCAAGAGATCAGAGACTGGAAGCTATCCATGATTCTAATACAGAAAAGAAGTTCAAAAAGACAAATCTTCAACCAAAGACACATTATGCAGATATTGGAGGGCGAGGGGGTCTTCTTTAGTTAAAGAGCAACAACAACGCATTGGCAGGTAAACTCACAAAATCCCTATTGAGCATAAGAGCAAATAAAACGTTTAGCAGCTACTGAGTATGTAAACATGTACAGCTTGGTAAATGAGACTGTTAATATTGGACATATTTATTTCTTGCAAATAGGAACGGATATTCCTCACACTCTCCAACTACATTTTCACAGCAATCTTCCTGGCTGAAATGACCATAAAGGTAAAGGACTTCTCTGACCATATGAACTCTCACAAAAACCTCAGAAAGTGTAGCTTTCATGTTCAATGATTGCATTTTATTGATGCAGAGAATATGGCACTATACAGATGGATATCCCCAGGAACAGATGTTGAGTTTGGGTGTCAGGAGTACTGTGTTCAAAACATCCATGGTGTGGCCTTCTACATCACTATGTTTCAACCTGCTGTATCTCAAGAATTATCACAAAGGGTTTAAAATCACAAATGTTTGAAACCATTTCTACATGGTAGCCATCTGAACCTGTGGCAGCAGAAACAAATCTTCTGGCACATTAAAGGCAAACACATTGATTAAGGCATATGGTTCTGTGGCCAAAAGTCCACTTCATCAGATGTCTAAAGTGTTATTCCAAAGGTTTATATGCATGACCAGGGTGGGGAGAGAGAGTTGCAAGTAGGGAGGTCAAAACATTGGAAACTGCAACAATTAGGTTGAAACTTAAATGGATCTGTATTCGTGTCAAATGTGAAGTATCTACTACTTTTTCTTGTGTCCACCTTTGCCCATTTGGACCACTGCACCATAGTTTCTTCCAGCAGCTGGCCATGCTATGTTCTGTGGGAATTATTTTACCTACCACCACCTTGTATCCACAATGCACACATCTAAAGACTTACTAGCCAGATGTCTTTCTGTCAGATAAGAGGATGCATGTTTTAAAGTGCTCTGCTGAAGTTTTCGATCTTGATGAGAAACTATTGACAAGAAGTAAATCTCCTCATGCCCAAGTTCTAAGAAGAAATAGTTTCAGCAACTTGTATTTATTTTTGGGTGGGTATGCATACAAATGCATTCAAAATTAGCAAGCTGTCAGACTTGTGGGGTTTTAGATGTTCTTGTAGCCCCCTTATTTTTCCTGAAATGTCTTTGAAGCCTTGTGGCTAGGGAAGACATATGCTCAGTAGCTCCCTAACGATTATTCAGCTGTAAAACAATAATGTGTGCCATACTCTTATGTAATTGCTATGAATTGTCGCATGCACTTTTGCACAATTAGTTTTCAGCTGCGTTAAGAATATATCAACTGTTAAAGGGACAATCTGGGATGTTTCTGCAGAGTTATTGGTATGAACCCTACAATATAACACTTTGCAGGAACAACATAGTTTTGCTGGTATAACAAGGAAGCTAATGCAGTGACACCTGTCTGTAAGTAATGGGTTGAAAAGGGGTCAGCGACTTAGTAACTGAATTAGTCATATTTCATTGCCATTGGTCTCTTGACAGGTGGTGGCACTAGGCTTGTGCTTTGGTGAGAAGGCCTATTTAAGAAGCAGCTGGAACATGCTGGACGGGGTACTGGTGCTCATCTCTGTCGCTGACATCCTGGTTTCAATGGTTTCTGACAGCGGGACAAAAATCCTGGGAATGCTAAGAGTCTTGCGGCTACTGAGAACCCTGAGACCATTAAGGTAAGGGAGCTCTATAGGATTATGCAGCATGGTCAGGCATTGTGGCGTATCGTCGTTCAGTCGTTCAGTCATGTCCGACTCTTCGTGACCCCATGGACCAGAGCACGCCAGGCCCTCCTGTCTTCCACTGCCTCCCGGAGTTGGGTCAAATTCATGTTTGTAGCTTCAATGACCCTGTGCATCCATCTCGTCCTCTGTCGTCCCCTTCTCCTCTTGCCTTCACACTTTCCCAACATCAGGGTCTTTTCCAGGGAGTCTTCTCTTCTCATCAGATGGCCAAAGTATTGGAGCCTCAGCTTCAGGATCTGTCCTTCCAGTGAGCACTCAGGGTTGATTTCCTTTAGAATTGTGGCATATAGAAATTACTAATAAATTCCTGTGAATGGCATGAAAGGAAACAGTGGTTATCTTAGAGCAACAGTGATAGGAAGAGCACTCCTGTTGGTGCAACCTGTCAGTATGTTCCTCTTCCCAAGGAAGCCCTTAGAACTCTAGAGACAATTAGAATTTTATTTCCCCCACTTTAAGAATGCTGTATATTCTGACCTTTGCTATAAGCAGTTTACTTATTTCATAGATGCAGCAACTGACAAAGACGGGTGGGAGCTCCCTTATAATAGCTCTATGGGTCCACCATGGGGTGGGGCGGTGGACACACCTCTCCCATTTCTAGACTCCTCCCCAGTCCTCCATAAGCCGCCCTTCCATGTTTTGGTGAAACTGGCAGTAACTAGATGTTCACACTTTGTTTCTCAGAAAATAGCTTGGGGGCTTAAAACAGAGTATAGGGCATGCCTTGTTTTAGCTGAAAACAAACCCTGGAGCTTTTCTGAAGTGCAGTTTTTGATTTTGGGATGGATATTTTTCCCAGGTTGGTGGGGTCACTGAACTCAGACAAGGGGGAACTTATGGCACAGAAGAATGAGTTTTGAAACCTTTTCAGATGCTTCTTCTTGACCATCAGAGTCTTTATTGGCACTGATGTCCTGAGCTTCTAAGAGTAACTTTCTGGTCTGTGAGGCAAATAGTTGCCCCATTTATGTGATGTGGTTGTTTTTGTGTTTGGGGAGTATGTGAGACATAAAGAACCTGGATTTTAACACTTGCCTAGAGGAGGTTTTTAATAAAAAAACAGATAAATGACTGATGCTGCAATTAAAATGGATATGCTTATCTGTGAAGAGACATGGGATGATCAGGCATTCGATTTTTGGGGACTGGGGACATTATACAAGTATATTAAACCATTCTGAAAAGATGCATGAAGATGAAGGGAAGGGAATTTTGTGTGCTCTCTGTAGAGAATGTGTTGAGGTGTGATGGTGTTCACTGTCCTTTGTATGTGTTTATTACCCACAATCTAAATCTTTCTAGCTAATACATTCAGGCTGCTGTGGCTGAAATCAAATACCAAAAAAAGACATAAAGTTAACATTAAAAATGTATTCAGCATAATCTGGGGAGGTTTGAATACTATTCTGTCCTGCCTTTGGCTTCCAAAATAGAAGTATGAATTATTCACTCTTCATAACACCCGGGTACCAGAGCTCTTTCTATCAAATTATCACTTCCACACGTATTGAAGGTAAATCTGAATCACTCACATACACATTCTGACAAATACTCTGATCCAGCTAGCAGGCTTGAAGCTGGCAAACATCCTCCTGCAGTGATAAGACTGACAGACGTTCTTGGTTGGAGCTGTGTGCATTGCAGGAGTTTAGCAAAGAGGGGGTTGGGATCGCTGAGCCTAGCAAAACTGGGAAGGAGTCAAAGGATTAGAAAATGGGTTTATGCTTGTCAGGAGGAAAAGACGCAAGCACGCACACATACACAAAGAGACTTCAATTTCCTTCATTTGTCATGCACCTGAAACTTGCTCAAAACCACTCTCACTGCAGCCTCAGGTGGCTCCTGGCCTGGGACATCAAAGAGGCTCATATCCACATAAACTCTTGGTTCTAAATTAACAGTGTGCTGGACTGAAAGCTCCAGAGGGGCCAGGCAGAGGCGGAGCAACAGTAATACACAAGAGATTATGGCTCTAGATAACCTGTTCGAGATACCCATGATGAGTACTGCAGTCCTTTACTAACATGATCTACTTCCCTTGAAATTAATGAGAAGACCACATCCACTTAATGTTAATGGTCCCTGAAGCCCTTAAGCAAAAACGTGTTGCCTCCTTTCTGTGATTACGGAATGTGTTGCTCTCTGTAATCGTCCTTACATTTTTGTTTCCTGCTGACACGAGAGCTACATTAGCACTGAAGCTGGGGAAATGACAGAGAGGTTCATCTTCGTGGCCTCTGTGAATGCACACAAATGGGTTTTACTGCACCTGCACAGGACTCCTTGGGATATACTAGAGCTTAAAAAGACGTAATTAGTAGGACGTTGCTGCATGGCGCACATGCTCCACCCACCTCGGTTCCTTTTAGCTGCCGCTGAGTTCTGACTCCTTTAGTGATTATTAGAGCTTCTTCCATTTTTGGTTCAATGGTTTTTGATATTTGGCTTGTTTAACGGTTTCCTGATTTTGTCACAGACTTGGCTTTGTTGATTGTTTGATTACAGCTTTCTGATCTTTGAACTGTTTATCGTTAAGCATTTTGGATCACGGATTTGGACATTCCCCCTGTCAGGTACCCTTTTCTCCTCCCCTTTCCCCCCTGATTCCCACCTCTCTTTTATGGCCTCTTTGGGTCCTTTCACAAGGTACGTATTGTGCGTCACCTAAATTCCATTCACTGACAGCTACGATCGCTGATTGTTTTGCCTGGGAGAGAGACATCAGACCAACTCCTGCACGGAGTCTAAGAAATTACCCAAGCTGGCCATCAAGCTTCGCTTGCAACGACTTTGATCGTATCTTTGAGAAAAGTCCCTACAGCCTTCCAGCCCTGTAGCTAGTCCTGCTGCTAGCCCCGCAATGGAACCTACCATTGTCCCTGCTTCTTAGTCCAAACCTTCGGTTCCACTGGCACCGACTACTCCCTCTCCTAAGCTTCTAGGCCTAAGACCATCTCTGCATTGATGTCGACTTCAATGTCAAAGTCACCTTTGGTCTCTACCAAGGACCTCTCGCCTAAGAAAAAGAAGGATACAGTTAAACTAAAGAAAGCTGTCTCTAAGTCTCATCGACCCCATGAACTTCAAATGGTTCACATCTCCCTCCCCTTCCCTATCTTGGAGGAGTCATCGAGGGACATTTCGGACCCAGATTCCCTTTCTGAAGCTGGAGAGGTGGGACCGCTTCCTCAGGCTCAAGCCTTGGCATCGGTACTGAGCTTGTCACCATCTCATGGCTGCTCTGAGGCTGACGTTATCTCCAGTCTGGCCTCAGCCCATTCTAGCCCTAATTCTATCGAGCGGGCAATGCTGATCCAACTTTCCAACTCAGAGACATTGCTTTCTCAGTCTCCTCCACGGAAGCGATCTGCTAAATGGCACCACATCTCTCCATCCCAAGAGTATTCTCAATATCGAGAGGTCATTCTTGTCCCATGCTCATCTCAACACCACATGATTTCTGAATATGGTGAACCTCTTTATTCTGACGTGGATCGGCATAGCAATTGACACCAATACAGGTTGAATAAGCCCGATTGCCACTATGTCAAGGATTATTATGGGCGGCCTAGGCCCATGCATTATAGGCACGCCTCTCCCACATCTTCTCAATCTCCTTCACCACCTCCTGCTCAATGTCAATATTGAGCATACTACCAGCCTGACCTTGTGATACCGACACCGAGAAAATCTGCTTCCAAACACGGATTACTCCCGTCTGAGATTCCTCGACTGGACATGATACCCGCGAAACGTGCATGTTTATCCTCCCTGCCCCCGGCCTCGACTTCACAGCTAGCTTCTGTTGTCCATAGGTCCCGCTCACGTCACACATCGGCTTCAATTCCAGAAGTTTTAACCTCGGCTCAATCACCTTGGGCCCATCATCGTTCCCCTTCACCTCTTCTCTCGAGGGACTCTTTGATCTCGATGGCTTCTGAGCAGGAGCAGGATCTCCCTTTGGAAGCTTCTGGGGAGTCCCCGTCGAATTTACCAGCACCTGACTCAGATGTCGTAGATATCCACCCACCATCTCCATCCGAGGACTTTACATCTTATTCCCAGCTCATTCTCCATATGGCCAAATCTTTGGAACTTGACATCGAACAGCCTCCACCTCCCAAATAGGACCTTGTCTTCAACAACATAAATCAAGAGAAATCCTTTCTGTTGAGTCTGGCATTCATACCAGCCATGTTAGACCTTATCAAGGAGTCATAGGACAAGCTGTTTACACATCCGAGGACTTTACATCTTATTCCCAGCTCATTCTCCATATGGCCAAATCTTTGGAACTTGACATCGAACAGCCTCCACCTCCCAAATAGGACCTTGTCTTCAACAACATAAATCAAGAGAAATCCTTTCTGTTGAGTCTGGCATTCATACCAGCCATGTTAGACCTTATCAAGGAGTCATGGGACAAGCTGTTTACGTCTATCCAAATCTCTTGACGCATTGAGACCCGCTATAGAACACATGGATCTGACACAGCTTTTCTTGTTAAACTTCCTGCTCGAAACTCCATTATAGTGCAGTCAAATCAGTTCCATGCTAGTAATCAATCTTCAGTCACTCCTACGAATAGGGAAGGCAGAAAGTTGGATGTCTTAGGGCATCGCCTATATTCTCTGGCCTCCTTTCTTATGAGAGTTTCGAATTACCAAGCCGCGATGGGACGCTATCAGAGACAACTGTAGAGCAAGATCCTCCTGGTCCTTCGGGCTGCTCCTGAAGAGACCAGAAACTCTGCCCTCAACACTCACTTTGAGGCCACAACACTAGCTAAACAGCAGCGTCTCACATCTCGCCACACAGTTGACGCTGCTTCGAAGGCTTTAGCCTCAGCTATTGCCCTCAGAAGGGACGCTTGGTTGCACTCCGCAGGGATCAGTGATGATGCTAGATCCCACATTGAGGATCCTGCA